TTCAAATTTAAATAATCTTTTAACTAATGCCTATCATATGGAACAATGCAATCAAAGACTATAAGGAGAGCAACAGAGATATTGTACATGATCTGCTATGCATAATTAATTATCACCTAGAACATTAAAAACAATTTTAAGACTGCTGTCACTTTACATAAAATAATGAAAAAAACATGGAGTGCAATTCTGGGATTTGTTTCAAGTTATGGATACTTGTATTTCTTTGCTTGTCTGATCCAAAATTCAGGAAAGTGTATAGACATAAGAAGTAAATGTATAAACATGAAATACATAAAATTAAAAATTTTTAATAAGCAAAGTCTTTTCTTACATGTTTGAGAGTCTTGAATCTGGTATCTGTGTCTGAAACTCAACAATTTCCAAGCATGTACTTGTTTTCATCGATATTAATTAGACTATTTTTCCCTTACATAATTATATTACGGTATTATTTATCACAAGTGGAAACTAGACTAATAATGTATAAACTTAATAGTGCTTTATAACTTACACTGATAGTTCTTATTAATATCGTTATTTACTTTTGGCATGTATCTTAATATGAAATTGATTTTCTCTCATTGCTAAGACTTCATTTCAATTTGGTTACAAACCCTTTAATCACCATCATGTCTTCAGTGCTTAGGCAAGTTATATGACTGTGTTACTCACTTAATTCTGTCATGCTTAGGATGAATAGAATGATAGTGCCATGCATTTTTTAATGAAATAGAATTTAGAAATTATTTTTGACTTATGGAAGAGTAATTCTACATTTTAACTTTTCTAAAAGCCTTTTGCGATATTGACAAAATGAAATTAGCATTAATCATTAGATTTGTTTAGATAAATTGTAATAGTAAAGAAGGTTCATTCCTGTATACAAAATTCAATTTTTCTTATATTATTGAATTAAAGAAATAGTAGTTTTAAACATGATAGTTTCCACATTTATCAATAGATACAATAAGAAAAATATTTCATTTGCAATATAAATTATTCATAAAGCCAGATTTTTATTGGTTTATATGAATTGAAGATCTGAAAGGAATGTTTTAGTTATATAATTAAAAGCAAGATATTCAATACACATCGAAAAGAAAGTTAAAAATCAAATTGGAAAAAAGTTATTATTTTCATTGTTATTTCTGAAATGCCACCTTAAATAATCATGCCCTCCACCAAGGCATATTATGCTAGGTGTCTGGATAAAAGTATATCAAATTGCAAAAAAAAAGAAAAAAATTTGTAAAAATATTTCGAAACAATTTATGCAGAGGAAAATATTGATGTAACTTAATATAACACAAGATGTTATATAATGCATTGGTAAATTAAAAGAAGAGATATTCTAGAAGATACAAAAAACACCATATATTCTAGCAGACCAAGAAAATTGGTATCATGTATTAATGTCTGATTGTTAGTATCTTCTTTAGATACTGCTATGCAAAAGCTATAAACAAAAACTTCAGACTTTATCTTGTTCTTTTTATGACAGAGTGCATGAATACCAGATCAGTACCTGGTGCTTGTTAAGTCAGCAGATTCTCTGTCAAACAGTATATTGGTAAATTAACACACATACAGATTCATAAAGTATTCATGGAATAAGAATTCTAAGGCACACCCCAACAAGAACAAAAATTTTTTTCTTGGTATTTTGTTTTTTTAGGCCTGTTCCTGGGGTTATTTGGGGCATTGATTTGGAAAATTGTATTGGATACATCACATCAGCTCTAGTTTCTTACATGTAGTGCCATACTATATTTTCAGCTATTAAGTTATACTAAGCCTTAGTTAAGCATCCTAGTTTTAAATATAAGAGAAATTCAGACAAGCAATTACAGAATAAGATAAAAAGTTACAAAGTATTTGAAAAAGAGCTAGTTATCAGGAGACTCCCAACGGAAGTTGTATTAGGCCCATGGTGACTAGTTGATTATGCATTGAGCTGCCAGACACATGGTCAATGGTTTGAACCCACCAGTCACTCTGCAGCCTTTAAAAGATTGAAAAGTTTGGAAATTTAAAGGGGCAGGCAGTTCTTCTCCACCTGATAGGGTCACTATGAGTTAAAATCAATTAAATAGCAGTGAGGTTTTTTTTCCTTTTTGTTGTGTGAGGCTGTGCAATATATACAGAAACTGCAAGTTGGATACTGCAAGGTTAGAACACTGCTTGAGAAGAGTGAAAAATAAAATAAAGTTGAAAAGTCATATATATGGGAAAGTGTGAGGGCAACTTAGAGTGTTGAAAATATAAGACTGCATAACAGTTTTCATAAATATTTTTATGATGTTTTTTTTCAAATTAAGCAGGAAATATTTCAGAACACCTTTCAATATATAGAAATCAAGGGATAATTCATGCTAAGTGCTTCAGAGATGAGTTTTACTCCATGCTTCTTTATAGGAAAAATTCTAAATATTTTGTTAGAACTTGTGCCATATTAGAACAAGACTGGAACATTTTCATTTTAATAAAGAAGTTTGAACTCTGACAGATCCATCTTGGGTTTCAGAACACTTGAAGATGTTTATTCTACCAAATTCATTACCAGTCAGTCAATTAGGACTCATCATGACCCTTTAGGACAGAGTGGGGCATTTCCTGTGGGTTTCTGAGGTTGTAGATAGATCGTGATGGAAGCAGAAAGTTTCGTCGTTCTCTTGCAGAGTGGCTGTGTGGCTGCAACTGCTGACCTCTAGGTTAGCAGTCAAACACATAACGCACTAATCCATGAAGGTTCCATATTACTGTACAGTATTTCTTGTTTTTGGGACCCTTTTGAAATAAAAAATTGGAACTGTCTCCTACTCAGGTCCTAATAAAGGTGAAGTGATACTCGGGGGAAATTCCAAGTCCATGCAATTTGTACCGTTCACATATATATTTTGATCAAAGGACACCATATGAATGAAGTATAACTTTTGCTAAATATGTAGTACAACACAAACTACTTTAAAGAGATCCAGTTGCATTTTTTCAATCTCAAGCTAGCTAACACTGAATTAAAATAATCTGATTTTTATGGGCCAACAGAATAAAGAGTGTTATATAGCATATGCTCTGTATCTCAAAAACTAGCGCTGATAGTGGAAAATTGGTGCCATTTTGGTCATCATTAGGTCAAATATACCCAGAGACAAGTCTAACACTTTAGGCATCATAATATGTGTTGGCCGGTGAAATCTTCTTGTGGTCTTTTCTTTACACACTACAGGACCTTTATAACTTACTCTTTTCTGTCAAAACCTTACAATGAACACTGTACAGAATTCCTTTTGAGAATGAGTGCACATTATTTCTCAGCTTGCAGGATCAATCAACTTGCAGTGCCCACCTGTATAGAGTTCACCTTATTGGTGCTCAGAGAGGAGACTATTTTGCCACCCAAATTTCCTGAGCATTTTGTCCTAAGCTATGTTTCTCTGCTTGACATTTTGGTACACTGATTTCAAAAAGTTAATTATCTTTGAGTTGTTACTCCAAGATAACTTCATCTTTAATATATTTTCTTATTGAAAAAAAAGAGAAAAAGTTTCTATTTTTCGCACATTTGTATTCTAATTAGTCTTTGTGTTTCTCCCTTTGCCAATGAATTCAATTAGATATTATATACTAATAAATGCATTGGATGTATATTTTACAGCTGATTGTATTTTTGGTGTTATAAAATGCATTCTACCCAACTGAAGCTTTTATTAATACTAAATTTGTTTTGAGTAACCATGAATTCCTCCATTTATTATAATTCACATATTATTGATTCATTAGCCATATGAAATTTAGTGACAATTATTTTTAAAATTCTATTAATCTCTTCCTTTAAAAAATAATAGTTTAAATGAATGTGTTACATTTTCTAATATAAAATTCAACATTTTGAAGTATAACAAAGTATCTTTAGCACAATTCTTTAATTTTGGAAAAGCCTAGAGAATTAAATTAATTTGCTTGTAGTTATAATAGAGTTAGGGCTTAGAACCCATGTCTACTGGAAGTTAGTTTTGAGCTGATCCAACTATACCATGAAAAATGATGACAATGAGTCCCAAACAAACAAATTTATGGAGCAAACGGTAGGGGTCAGGTGGAGACCCAAAGCCTATCTATAGATAATTGTACATTCCCTCACAGAAGGGTCACAAGGAAAGAACAAATCACCCAGGGTGCAGCATAGTACTGATGGAACCCACAATATTTCTCTAGTTCAGTGGTTCTCAACCTTCCTAATGCCATGACCCTAATACAGTTCCTCATTTTGTGGTGACACCCCCCAACCATGAAAATATTTCCGTTGCTACTTCATAACTGTAATTTTGCTACTGTTATGAATCGGGCAACCCTTGTGAAATGGTCCTTCGACCCCTAAAGGGGTCACGACCAACAAGTTGAGAACCACTGCTCTAGTTCTTTAATGCGCCCCCCCCCCCATCCACCATAACGACCCCAGTTCTACGTAACAAATACGGCTAGACCGGAGCATGTACACTGGTACAGATAAGATCCTTCAACACACGGAATCCAGGACAGATAAACCCCTCAGGAACAGTAATGGGAGTAGTGATACCATGAGGGTAGGGGGAAGGTGGGGGAAGAAATGGGGAACAGACGGTAATGATGGACGTATAACACACACACACACACACACACACACAGAGGAATGAAGTACAGAAATGTGGGTGAAGGGAGACAACAGACGGTATAAGATATGAAACTAATAATAATTTATCAGGAATTCACGAGGGTGGGAGTTTTCGGGCGGGAGGGAGCAAAGAGGAACTGATATCAAGGGCTCAAGTGGAAAGAAAATGTTTTGAAAATGATAATGGCAACATGTGTACATATTTGTTTGATACAATTGATGTATGGATAATTAGAAGAGCTGTGAAATCCCCAATAAAATTATTTATTAAAAAAATGATAACATTGAAGACTTTCTCATAACATATTTAGATAAGCTAAAATATATTTCTTTCTATGTTTTTCAGGGTCAAAATATATTTGGCCTGGATGTTATTGAAACACCAGAAGGAGACAAGATACCACAACTCATTGTTCAAAAAGAATTAGATAGAGAAGAGAAGGATACATATGTGATGAAAGTAAAGGTTGAAGATGGTGGCTTTCCTCAACGATCTAGTACTGCTATATTGCAAGTAAGTGTTGCTGATACAAATGACAACCGCCCAATCTTCAAAGAGAATGACATTGAAGTCAGTATACCAGAAAATGCTCCTGTAGGTACTTCAGTGACTCAGCTCCATGCCACAGATGCCGACATAGGCGAAAACGCAAAGATTCACTTCTATTTCAGCAATCTAGTCTCCAACATTGCCAAGAGACTGTTTCAGCTGAACGACACAACTGGACTTATTACAGTCAAGGAACCGTTAGATAGGGAGGAATTTCCAAGCCACAAATTAATTGTTTTGGCTAGCGATGGTGGATCAATGCCAGCAAGAGCAATGGTGCTGATAAATGTTACAGATGTGAACGACAATGTACCATCAATTGACATAAGATACATCATCAATCCAGTCAATGGCACTGTGGTTCTTTCAGAAAATGCTCCACTCAATACCAAAATTGCTCTTATAACTGTGACAGATCAAGATGCTGACCATAATGGGAGGGTGACATGCTTCACAGATCACGAAGTCCCTTTTAGATTAAGGCCAGTCTTTAGCAATCAATTCCTCTTGGAGACTGCCGCATATCTGGACTATGAGTCCACAAGAGAATATGCCATTAAATTATTAGCTGCAGATGCTGGCAAACCTCCTTTGAATCAGTCATCCATGCTACTTGTCAAAGTGAAAGACGAAAATGACAATGCTCCAGTTTTCACCCCGCCATTGGTAAGTCTTTCTGTTCCTGAAAATAACTCTCCTGGTGTACAATTGACAAAAGTAAGCGCAACAGATGCAGATAGTGGTCATAATGCTGAGATCAATTACCTGCTAGGTGCTGATGCTCCATCTGAATTCAACCTGGATCGTCGTACAGGTATGCTGACTGCAGTTAAGAAGCTGGATAGGGAAAAACAGGAAAAATATTCATTCACAGTTTTTGCAAAGGATAATGGCATGCCATCATTGGTGACCAATACCACTGTCTTAGTGACCGTTCTTGATCAGAATGACAACAGCCCAATTTTCACTCACAACGAGTATAACTTCTATGTCCCTGAAAACCTTCCAAGACATGGCACAGTAGGGTTAATCACTGTGACGGACCTGGATTATGGAGAAAATTCTGCAGTCACTCTCTCCATTTTAGATATGAATGATGATTTCACCATTGATCCACAAACTGGTGTCATAAGACCAAATATTTCATTTGATAGAGAAAAACAAGAATCATACACTTTCTATGTAAAGGCTGAGGATGGTGGTAGGGTATCTCATTCTTCAACTGCCAAAGTGACCATAAATGTGGTTGATGTTAATGATAACAAACCAATTTTTGTTGTCCCTTCTACAAATTACTCCTTTGAATTGGTTCTACCTTCCACTAATCCAGGAACTGTGGTCTTCAAGGTAATTGCTATTGATAGTGACACTGGCCTGAATGCAGAGCTTCGTTACAGCATTGTAGGAGGAAATACAAAAGGTCTGTTTATGATTGACCAAGTAACAGGAAACATTACACTGAAGGAGAGATGTGCTGTTACAGATCTTGGTTTACACAGACTGGTAGTCAAAGCTAAAGATTTAGGGCAACCCGATTCTCTCTTCAATACTGTAATTGTTAATCTCTTCCTGAATGAATCAGTAACCAATGCTACCCTGCTTCATGAACTGGTGCGCAAGAATATTGAAAAGCCAGTGACCCAAAATGTTGATACAACTGATGCATCCTCACCAACAAGTGACTATGTCAAGATCATGGTTGCTATAGTTGCTGGCACCGTAACTGTCATCCTAGTGATTTTCATCACTGCTGTAATAAGATGTCGCCAATCTCCACGCATTAAGGCAGCCCAGAAAAACAAGCAGAATTCAGAATGGGTTACTCCAAACCCAGAGAATCGACAGATGATAATGATGAAGAAGAAAAAGAAGAAGAAGAAGAAGCATGCCCCTAAAAACCTGTTGCTTAACTTTGTCACTATTGAAGAAACAAAGACAGATGATGTTGACACTGATGGAAACAGTGTCACATTAGATCTTCCCATTGAGCTGGAAGAGCAAGCCATGGGCACCTACAACTGGGCAACTACACCTACTACTTTCAAGCCAGATAGCCCTGATTTGGCCCGGCATTACAAATCTGCTTCTCCACAGCCTGCCTTCCAGATTCAGCCTGAAACTCCTCTGAATTCGAAGCACCACATCATCCAGGAACTGCCTCTTGATAACACCTTTGTGGCCTGTGACTCCATCTCCAAATGTTCCTCCAGCAGTTCTGATCCCTACAGTGTTTCTGAGTGCAGCTTTCCAGTGACAACTTTTAAAGCCCCTGTGTCTGTTCACACCAGACCGGTAGGTAATTCAAGTTTCTAACTGAGCTTTCTAACATTATTTATTATTTACATTTAGAGGAAAACTGCACAGATTCTACCAAGCTCAATGAGAGAAAAAATTAGCGTATTATATTCCTTTAATTGTGGTGGATAATTATTTATGTTTGGTAGACAGAGGAAAATGACTAACTTAAGAACATTGGATGTAGGATGGTGGTTATACTAGGGACAATTTTGTCTGTTGACAGCGGTATGACACTTCTTCCTAGAGGATGTACTAGGAACAGTCTACATCAAAGATGGGTTATACCACTGTCCTCAGTCAATGAAACTGAATGCACAAGTTTCAAAACAGCTTGGGCTAGCTACATCTCAATAAATCTTTTCTCAATTTTAGCACTGGCGATGTTGAAAATTTCAGATTCACAAGGAAAAATCTGTGTCTACCCCATATATCTGCCTAAGTAGTACCCAGAAATTAGCTTCCATCTCACCTCTGTTGTGCCCACCCAAAGAAAAACTGCCATTTTCAAATGACAAAATCACTGATTCTTACTCCTAAAATTTTTAATAGGTCACATAATAGGACAAGAACGGAATTGGAATAATGATTATACATGCTTCTCACTGTTCTTATTCAGCCACATCATGAAATACCCATGTATATGGGACCCCTATTTCAGATATGCATTTAAATATTTACATAGTTAAGTAAGCTAGTTAGTGTTCTTCAGTAGATATTCTTAAGATAATGTCTTTTGGAAAACGAAGTATATTTGCTTTCTAGTGGCCATAATGGCAGATATGAGAAAAATAAAATATAAATGTGGCTGGAACAATTTAAAAGACAATAAATTCATGAAGATAAGAATTTGGACAGTGTTTTTTTGTTTTGTTTTGTTTTTGGTGTATTCCTTTAATGAGGAGTGCAAAATAATAAGTAAATTAAATTTTGTTGCTTCCTTAATAAAATCAAATGATGGAAACTATCCACCTTTTTTTTTCTCTTGAAATCATACCACACATTGACTTTATTATTTTGTTTGTGTCTTAATCTCAATTTTGTAGAATAAAGACTTTCCAAAACCCATTCTGGCTTAACAATGCCCTAGCAATGTGAAAGTCAGAATAGATTTCCTCTCACCAAAATTAAGAGATAATGTAAAAATCTGTCCAGGTTCAAGAAAATGTAATAGTTGACCATAGGTTTGGAAATGGCTTTAAGAATGAAAGTCAATCAAAGCTATGCATAATTAAATGAAATTATACTATGATATTAACTTTTCTTTGTTAAACACACATTACAGGTAAGATCCTAATTCATTTATAAGAGGATTTTTGCTATTGTAGTACCACAGTTATGTTGTTTCTAGCAGCAAAATAAAACCCTAGTGTTGTGAAAAATTTCTATTACATTTTCAAAAAGATTATAGGGCAGTTGTTATCTTTAAAATTTGGGTAAAAGCCATGTTCCCCTGTCTAGTTGAAGATTAGCTAAAGGCCAAACTAATAGATGCATAATTTTTCTCATCTTGAAGTGTTATTGTTTATATTTACCCGTTCAGAAGAGCACTATATATTATTATTATATTTCTGCATATTGTAAACTTTTCTTAACAGAAGTGTATCTTTTATGGTGAACACATTACATCTATTGTGGATCCTAATAAAGCTTTTTTTCAGGGAGAAATTTGTGAGTAGGTTAGTTTTTTTTTCATCGACATTTTAGTACCCTGAATAGTATTTTAAATAAGAGTATACTAACAGTGGGGTTTTAAAATTATATTTGTGCATAGCAATTTTTAATAGATTGGCTCATAAAACTAGTTTAAAGTGCAAATTTTAGTTTCTACTATTTTTGAAAGCAGTGTTTTATGAGCTATGTAATGATTCTGCAGTGAATGAATACATAGTAATAAGTCATGAATGAAGAAAAATGGAAGTATTTGATAATTATTATAGTCTTAAATTTTTTCATATTCTATAATACTTTAAAGAGTTGACAACTTTCATGACATTTTATATTACTTATCTAAGAGACTGTGTTCTAAAACACTAAACGGCTTAATATATCTGGCAAAATATGAAATGTAAATGCTCATATTAATCTTATTTATAATTGTTTTTATTAGCTAAAAAACATCTTACAATTAATGGATTCTGAGGTGATTTATTCAAAATTTTCACCTCAAAAACAGCTAAATATTAGATTTTATGTCATAGTTCATGGTTGTTTCATATTCATTACTAAGGATCTTCTGAAAACGAATTGATATGTCTATATTTTGACCCACATTTGAAATGTTCTTCACCATTTCTGCATAAACTTATACTTGTGATGAATTCTCAGAGACACTTCATATGCACTGACTGCAGTATGTTAAAAGATAAGTAAGCACTGAAAAAGGAACCATATATTTATAAACCAAGTACAGTAGTTGTCTGCTTTTTAAAGAAACATCATATAAAATGTGATAATACATCAGGCAGTAAAATATAAATTCCGTATTCTATAAGGAAATTCTGAAAGTGGGAACAAAATTTTACTGTTTTCAGATGGCAGAATTATTCCAAACAATTTTATATGAAATGAAGAAATATATATATATTTAAGATAGTGACAATTGTATTTACAAGTAGTTCACTACCCATCTGAATGAAATATGAAAATGGATAAATAAATTGGATTTAAGTAGGCTGCAAGATATAAAATTATTTTCAGAAATTTCATGTTTTAGATAGCAAAAATACTTTCTATAATTTTTTTCGTAACTCTAATGTTCAGAAGGAAAAAAAAAAGAAACTTTTATTAGCAATGCATCTATTTCAAAAAGTCACACACACGTGGGAAAAATGATGGTGCTCTTTGCTTTAAATTCCCACATGTATTCTGGAGAATGATTTTGTCCATGTTCTAGTAGAAATTAGAAATATAGTATTTGAAAGGATGAATTTCTAGATCACCTTCTATTAACCGAGAAAGTGGATAGTACTTGGATAGTATTATCCTAGGAATAACATAAATATAGAAAACTGTACTATCAAAACCAAGTCTGGCCTTCACCATCAATCTTATTAAAATGTTATGAACATCATACACTTAAAAATAAAATAAAGTTGAAAATACCATTTGTTTCAAGTACAGTTTTGGAGGATCTTTTGGGTATCCTTCATTTGAAGTGTGTCATTGAAAAAGTATTCCTAGCTAATTTTTGTGTGTGTGATTGGAATTGGAATAGCTTTGTAGTTGCACAAATGAACTGTGAATGATAGGACATTTATAAGATAACTCATCTAAATAATAATGTTATTAATTATTATATTTGGGTCCAAAATTATTACAGTGACAGAGTTTGCGTGTAATAGAATAGGCATACACCAGAGTTAAATTTAGTAGCATTAGTTCTTTGCATCTACTTTTTTATAATGTGAATTTTAGCCATGTAACATGCTTGGCAACTAATATTTCTGGAGCACAATCATTGATTTTGATAACATGTTATTTTTCTTGTCCTAGACTGATTCCAGGACATCAACTATTGAAATCTGCAGTGAGATATAACTTTCTAGGAACAACATAATTTCAACCCCCCTCCCACTAAATTTCAATGACATGTGATTTCAAAAGTTAGCTAAAATTTTGTAATCTGAACTTCCCATTATATATGCAAGGAAAACAACACAAAACTTTAAAATGGACTTCCCATTGAATCTTATGATTATTTTAGATGGTATCTGAAGATCAAAATGTAAAGTTCAATGGGGGGGGGAAGTACAATGAAATAATAGTTTTATCATACTGTTTTCCTGTTCTGGAAGGCAACAACTTTGATGTAATATAATAGTACTATCCTGGTGTATACACTGAATATTAATTCATCAAACATAAAACATGGAGTTACTTGCCTTGTCTGATTGATGAAGAGTTAAACATCATTTCTGGGGTTTGGAATGAAGCTGAATTATCCAATCTACCTTTTTGAGAGGTGCCTAGGCAAAGATCCTTTTTAAAGACCAAAATATTCAAATAAATACAAGCCAAAAATATAAGCTTAAATACGTTTTATGAAAATGTTAACTAATATAGTATTTATGAGAAATCACTATAATCAATCATCACTCTGTCCAAGAGTTGAATGACATTAAAATAATAATTTGGGGGTTTTATGTTATTTGTAGTCATCTAGATGCACTATTTTCATCACTAAAAGTTATTTTTGTTGTATTCATGTTTCTTTTATAAATTTTTAAAGAGAAACCTTTTTTCTACTTATAACCATTAAAAGAGAATGTAAAGTTCTTTATACTCCCTGATATTTTGAAAATATTTAATATTTCCTAAATCATGAAATGTAATTTTAGTCATATTTAGGTAGAAACAAGGATTTAGGTAAGATTTTTTTTTAAGATTACATCTTAATTTTGAAACTAAAGTACTAGAGTCCTATCTAAAATAATCTATTTTATTTCTCTATCATTAAGTTACAGAGTCTATTTCATTGTTTTGAGTAGTTTCCATTTAAGATGAACTCATTTTCACAATATGTCAATGAACTTATATCTCACACAAATGAATGCGTTTCTTAAACTGGAGAATGAAAAGAATGGTGTGTTCCAATTGTACACTTTGATCTTTAAGCTATTTTTGCCTTACTAACATTACTAACAATTTAAAGTAATGATTTCTTGGGATGAAACGGGAGTATAAACGACCCTCATCATTATGACATACAAGTTATATTCTCTGGCTTTTGTTTTGAATTCTGAATTGTGTATCATTTCACCTTAGGAATGTAACTAGGACTTCATACCTTATGCACATTGAAATTAGTATATTACTTAAAGTATTCTTTGATATTAGGATACTTTGTAGAGGATTATGCTCTACTTCGCATTTCAACTTAGTGTATTCTTTGGATACTTGAAGTGTAGGTAACAATTTTAAAAGATTGATGTTAAAATTTAGTGTTTCTGTTAACACAGAATCCCTTGTACCTCCAATGATGTCAGAGTTCCTTGAATATACTTGCTATCTGGTTCTATAGTAAGTTGATCATAATTATTGTGAATATAATCATTTTTATTGGTAATGAAAATGTCATGTAAGTTAGAATGTTGTATTACACGCTTAAAAATTCCTGTTGGGGAAAAATGCATAAATTAAACTTTACCTTTTTTACTAGCTATTAATATAGAACCACTTACTACTCCTTCCCAATCTTACCTTGACAGATATTTTGTTTAATTTGAAACATTCTAAAATAAGTCAAAATCTAGCCAAATTCATATACTCCATTTCAAGATGTACTAATAGTAAAGGGTTCTAAAAAAAATAGTAAAGGGTTCTGAAAAACATAGTTCTAAATTTAATTGTGAATAAAATTATGGTACTCAAGCAAAGGAATGTGCACTTCAAATATTTTATAAACTATTCCGTAATACAAACCCCTGGGTTCATAACCACTCAAACATATGTTTATTTAAATGTATTTTTAATATTATTTTATCATGAAAACCTTGCAAATTAAAGGAGAATACTTCTCTGTCCTCTTTTTCACCTCAGTAACCCATTTATAGATGGCTGTAATAAAAAGTAATTAGTAATAATTAGATTCCTTTGTACACATGAAGATGAGAATATCTCAAAATAATTAGTCAGTGTCTCTTAATACATACCTCAACAGTTTTATGAGTGTTATCTTTTCAAAGGCTGAAAATTGCAACTTTTTTTTATTGCAAAAGATTTCATCTCTCAAAGTGCAGCTTTTGGGCAGAACTTCTGGTTTGTTGTCTATCCTGCTCTTTAAAGGGCCAAAGCCTACAGGAAATAAGCTATGTTGATGACGTCAAAACCAAAGTGATTCCTTTTCTTATTATGGTGAAAATAAATGCTTATCAATATAAGCAACGATGATTTATTTTAACCCTATTTAAAATTAGACCATAGATACAAATGCAGTTTGCTTTTGAGTGTTGAATACCTTTGATTTAGTCTCACCTGTGCTTAAGGGAATATTACCATTTGAGAAAAAATTAAATAAGGCCTAGAAACTAGTGTCTCCCAAAAAGCTAGAGAGGGGAAAATATCAATTTTTTTCCTACTTGGTTTCTCCTTATGAGTACATTTATTGACACCTTTAATTTTATTTTTATTATTATTATATGTTTGATTTAGAAGGCTTCAGAAAGCTACCTATCTCTTGTGTTGGTATTAGTGGTGTCTTCGAATATTCACAATGATATATTCTTGACAGTCTTTCTGGGTTTTTTTTTCTTGTCATTGAATAAAGAAAGACAAATGGAAGGCAATTATGAAGACTAGTCATAATACTTAAGAAAAACAACATCTTAATGTATTTACAGAATATTTTAATTTATTGATCATACTTAGAATACTAACTGATTGTGTACTGCAAGTAGTCAAAACTATCTTATTTTGTTGTGAATGTGTAAATAGAAAGCATCATGAAATACATTCTTTGTTTTTATTTTAAATATAAAAGTGCTTTATTTTCTAATGTAAATTATTGGTCCAATATATTTATTTATTTTGAAATTATGAAACAATTTTAATTCTATTGATAAGTCAAATTTTCTATATATAGATTCTCTTGTCTCTTAACCTCCCTATCCACACTATCAAGGAAAAAAAGTTCATTATTTTCAAGTTGAAATTAGATTAAATCATTCACCCACTATTTAGCATAAAATCTAATTTTGTAACTGTATGTCTAAATATGGTAAGGTAAGGCCCAATCTAAACAGAAATGATAGGGCAAAAGCAAATCTTTTCCCCACCCTACATAACAGTTTACAAGCATTTCATTTCTTGACATTGGTTAAAATCCCCATCATAAACCTCTTCCCGTTTCCTCCCTGTATTCCTTATTTCCAATTATCCTTGTCTGATGCTGTCTGAATTTTCTGGGAAGAGGAGCTAATACTTCATTTGGGTTTAAAGAGAATGATTTCGTTCTGAGGTGTTGGTTCCTCTCTAATGTATTCACGTTTTCTGCTTTACCATCCAGTCTATTCTGACTTAAGAGCGACCCCTTAGGAACATAGTGGAACCACGAGGTTTATGTAGATAAAACTGCTTCCTTGGGCTTCCGGTTGCTACAAATCAACTTGCAGTTGCCCAGTTCAACCCATTATACCACCAGGGCTCCTTTTGTTCACTATGTAGGCCAGTCTATTATTCAGTTGAAAATTGATCCCTAGGGTTGCGTTCAGTTCCAAGCTTGAAGGGTGTCTACAGGCCAGAGTCTGGGATTCCACCAGTCTCTATCTGATCTTCTGTTCTTGTTTTGTTTTGTTTTCCTCCCATTCTGTCCAAGACCTTCTAGTGTCATCCCAATTAGAGTGATCTTTTGTGAATTTATGCCAAACTCTTTAAATGCTTTCTGTGGGTGCTATTGTGTAAAATATATGATCTCAGAATTTATGAAATTTTGCTTTTGTCTATTTTAAATATTGTTTAGTGGTAGGTTTCTGTCTCTAAGGTGCTGTGATAATATAAAGTTGTATGTGTTATGTATAATTACTACTTTTAAAAGAACTGTGAACATTGATTTTTCATGCATATGGGTATTCGTATATGACATCTATGGTTGAATGTGCTATTTAGATTCCTAATTAGATTTTTAAATTTTAGAGTTCTTGTAGGCTTTTAATTTAGTTTCACATCCATTGTAGAAAATGTAGTGACTCATAGGTAGATTTTTGATGAAAAAGTTTAAATTATTTGGTTTATTTCAAGCTAAATCAATAACTTCTTTTTATCTCACAAAGTGATTCTGTTTGAAGACTCCATAAACTTTGGACGTGGTGCATCCTTGAAATTACAGAATTCTTGTGTTCTTAAAAAATTATAAACTATACACACATAACTTTATTTGAATTAGTAAGAGACTTCTTTCTTTATTATGTATATATTGCTTGTGTTTATAAATGTATGAATGGACAAATTAATGTAATAGTAAAGTTTGGTTAGATGATAATGTAACAGAGACGTATGCAATGTTTCTACACCATGAATCTCTTTCCTTCACGGAAATCTTCATTAAAAAAGTGAAACTTCTGTCAAAAATTACCAAGATATTTAATGACATCCAAACATTTTCATAATTGGCTCTTTTTTTTCATATTCTGGCCAGTTTCAATTGAAATTGCTCTCAATTTCTCTTTTTAATTGGTTTATTAATATTTCATTTTCCACACATGCACAAGTACTGAGAGGACAAATATAACCTTTTTGTCACTTGAAAAATCCCATTCATTATGTTTCAGTAAATATTTCAAATTGAATAATCATGAAATATGAAGTTTTCAGTGTTCCCAGAAGTATTTACATTTTTTACTTATCATGTAGCCTTATGTTTATCAAATATTCATGGATTTATTTTATAAAATATTATTACTTTTTAAATTAGGTTAGCTTTTAAGAACATTTAAAAGTTTGTTGTTTAATACTTGGAAAAATATTTGATAACAGAAGAATGCTTTTAGTAAATACTCAGAGAAAAGTTTTAATAATACTGTTTCTCCTCTTCAATAATGGTTTAAAATAAACAAATATGCAATTTTGTTGGAAAACATGATTTTCTGAAATACCTAATGTAAACGTAAAAAAGCCTTCACTTATTTTTTTAATATTGTTTCCAATTTCAATTACAA